TAAGGTGGCACAGTGTAGAACTCAGTGTTAAGACAAGGAACTCTCATAGCTACAAAACTTCACCCTAAAATAAGCCCTTCTGAACAAAGTTAGAAATTCCAAAAAAAAAAGCCCAAAGCTGCTTGGGTTTGAAAGTACTACATCAGTGAGGTCTAAGTATCCCCTAAATTAGGTCAGATCAGCAGTTCGGCCTTAATAAACAGCACCTGCGTACTTGTGAAAAAGAAGTGTGAGATCACATGAAAGTTGAGCTGTGACTCTCGCAACCCACCTCTCCCACAAGCTCTGAGATCCATCATTACCTAGTTCCAACTCCTATATAAGAGGAGGGAAGGAAAAACCTCAGGCTGGATTTTCTGTTCAAATCTTATCCCTCTCTACCCAAGATAGTTATCAAGGACTGGAGGATCAATTACTTCAGCTGCTAGGTCCAGACTGTCCTTGCTGGGAGATCTGGGGGAACTCTGTATCCAGCCTAGGTTAACAAGCAGTTTCAGAGTAGAGGGAGATGGTGAACAAACTGTAGCACAGCATCCTAAAATTCTAGATATTGCTTCCCATCAAAGGGAGAAATTTCTGCTGAATCAACAGAGCAGAGAGGCAAGAGAAGGCAAACAGCAGCTAGCTAAAGAGCACAGTGACTGACAAGAAACAGAGTATAGAAGGAATCCTCCACCGCTTGCTAGCCTTAGGCTAATCTTTGGTTATTTAGCCTCTCTAAACCCTGGTTTTCTTATCTGAAAAATAGAGATAATGTCTAAACTGTTGTGCCTGTAATCCCAGCTGCACAAGAGGCTGAGGCAGAAGGATCACTTGAGTCTAAGAGTTTGAGACCAGCCTGGGCAACACAGTGAGATCCCTGTCTCAAAACAAAAAAAGGGAGATAATGTCTGTATCACAAAGTTGCTGTGAGGATTAGACAAGACATCAAATGTGAAAGCACCTAGCATACAGCCTCAGAATCAGACTCTGTTCAATTTGTAGGAAGCTCAGCAATTTGTACAACTAAATTGATGAGGACCAGACCCCATCCCTCTATACCCTGCCACTACCTCTAATGGAATGTCCTTAAAAATTCCTAAAAACTGGCTGGGTATGGTGGCTCACACTTGTAATCGTAGCACTTTGGGAGGGTAGGAGTTTGAGACCAGCCTGAGCAACATAGTTAGACGCCATGTCTACAAAAAATACAAAAGTTAGCCAAGCATGGTGGTGTGTACCTGTAGTTTCAGCTACTCAGGAGGCTGAGACAGGAGGATCACTTGAACCCAGGAGTTTGAGGCTGCAGTGAGCTCTGATCATGCCAGTGTACTCCAACTTGGGTGAGAGTGAGATGCTGTCTCTTAAAAAAAAAAAATTCCTGAAAACTAACTCCTACCACAGGATATGGATAAGTGCCTGATCAGGCTGAAAGCATTCTCTCCTACCTACCTTCTGACTAATATACCCTGTATCAAGATTCTGCAAAGCTGGCTACCTAGCTGAGTCTCTGGCTGTGATCTAACACTCAAGAGACCTTGGACTGAACAGTTTCTCTAGGCCCCTCCCCTGCTTAGAGGCTTTAGTCAATTCTATGGGTCACTGCCCAGTGAAGGAGAAAAGTGGCCTCTTGGAACAGGGAGGCCCAGCAAAGGATGTAGAAAGTGGAAGAGTCCAGAATTTGTGTAGGTGGATAAATGCAATGAGGAAAGAAATGTGAGTGCCAGTCCTTTTTTGGGAACAGAAGTAAAGAAGATGCTATTCTTCCTGAACTACAGAAATTAGTTTTCTAAACAGGGATGGGAGAACTTACTATAAATCATTCAGGTTGACAGAAGGACCATGTCCTCTCAAAGAGAGCCACAGGAAACCAGATCCCTATAATCAAGTAACAGTACCCCTCTTCCTTCAGATTCTAGAGTCCCTTAGTAAAGATGGAATCATACATGCAGTTGCCAGCAATTGCTGGCAGAATGGCTCTGTTCAAAGTAAGCCCTCCATGACGGCACCTTAGAGAGCTGAGTAAATATTTACCATCTCTAGGAGCTCCTGAACTCATTTTTCTAGTACCAAGACCACCTGACCATGGTTTCCATGACAGCAACAGTAGATAGAATGGGGGAAAAAGGGGGGAGGCCTTTCTGCTTGCCAGTGTAAATCCAAAGCTGGAGGCTCAAGTTGGAGATCAAATTGGAGGGATCCCTCTCACCTCTCCATTTCCCCTCCCTCAGCCAGGTGAATACACAGCTTGGTAAAAAGTGTACAATAAATACTGCTGCCCTTGTGGGAAGTCGGTGGCCCTGAGGGATTCCACCATCTTCAGAAAAGGAAGATACAATCCAACCTACAAAATCCCCAAAGACCAGTATCAGTAAGGAGTTATTGAAAAACTGGGTTCCAAGTATTCTACAACCAAGAGTCACCTGTATACAAAATGATGATTTAAAGGGACAAAAATTAGAAATGAAACTCGTTCCCTAGAGATTCCTCACAGAAAGGACCTGAATTATTCCTTGGGAAAAACCTGGTAGGGTCATACCTCTAACCAAATGCAACCCTGAGAACTATCCATAGCTTAAGAGAAAATTCTGACTTCTAGGACCATAGCTCCTGGTTTCAACCTGACATCCAAGTGACTGGTCTCCCCTGGGCAGAAAAACCAGGAGCTGCAAAGGCTCATGACACTAGGAACTACATGTTCTAATCTCCTCCAATCTCTGGCACTATTTTTATCTCATTCCCTCCCCAGACTGGGATGGGGATGGGCAAGAAGACTTCCGCCTTCAAAGGGAGGAACAGGGCCAAAGAGAAGAAAGGATATAACAAATGCTCCCTAGGGTAGAAGAGTTACAGTGCTTCACACTCCAGACCTCTAAAGGTCCTTTCCTAGTCACACCCAGCTATAATGACCTCAGTCTCTTCACTACGCCTTTTACCTTCCTTGTGGGTATGTTAACTCAAGCCTTTGGATGATAAGCTCTGAAAGGCAGACCTTGGATCTCCCCCATTCTATTTTCCTACCAGACTCAGCACGCAGTAAGCATATATGGTCAGGAAGCTACCTCTGTGTTCCTGGGCAATAGGTAGATCTGTGATGGAAAATAACCAAGCCAGAACAAGCAGAGGTCGGTCGGTCAACACCAGGTTTTGATAACTTCTGTGTGCAGGGATCTGTGGGGAGACCCAGAGGAAGAAGCCACAAAGTCTTGCCCTCAGAGACACTCTGGTCTAGTGGGGATAAGAACCACACACATGGGGGAAAAAATAGCGTGACAAGGCTTGCTGGAAAATTCAAAAGCAAAGGACAAAGGGCAAAGTAAAGGGGGCAGTTTGAGACATGCTAGGAAACATCCACATCATGAAGGAGATCAGAAAAGAAAGAGACCCTCCTTCTCCCTTCTCCCTGGAAACAGTTGAAAGTTCATTTTCAGACAGTCTAAAAAAGCAAGAAAATAAATGCTTCCTCTCTTTGGCGGTCTCCTCCTGCTGTATCATTTGATTTACTAGCAATACGTCACTGCTCAGAACAGGATGCTTACTGTCCTATGGTACAAATTAAAGCAGAGACACAATGATTCCTCTAAGAATCATGATGAGGACTCTAACCCTTGGGGTCTTTTCCCCTCCACCCAAACTGGTGGAGGAAACAAAAACAGCCAACTATTGACTTTCTACAATTCTAGAGCTCCAGTGCTAGAACACAAGGTTCAATGAATACTGACAATGACAGTGGCCATGTCTAAAAAAGTGGATAATTCAAACTGCTAGGCAATCCTAAAATCATTTTCACTTGTTTTGGGAATACATTATTTTTAGAAGTATTATTTCACTCCTAATTATATCTACCTTAGTTGATAAAAAGAGACAACAGAAAACAAATTCTGATTTATCTAGATGCACATAGAACTGGGGAAAAGCATGATGAGAAGCCAGACTATGAATAGACATTTGCTGGTGGATAATCCACAAAGTTGCTATTCAGCCACCTCTTGATTCGCAAAGTTCATTTTTGCATGTATTTTCCACTATCTTGTATCTGAACATTTTTTCAAATCTAAACTCTGAGTTTCTCTTATCTGCCTGCCCACCCTCTAATATCTGATAAAGAGCAGTAACAAAGTCAGAAGTAGGGAAATGGCCAGTGAAGAGCCAGGGTCTGTTCATTTCCTCATCCTGTCCCTGGATAACCACTGAGTTGCATGTACTAGGCCTTACAAAGAGTTGATCATGTCCCACTTCTGGGTCTCATACACCTAAGTATGTCACCTCCTGTGTAGCAGTGGAAAGGCACAGATGATCAACTCTGGGCTAGCAGGGGCAAGAGGAACAAGTGGGGGAGGAAGGGGGTCCCCATTCAGGTCCATCACATGGCCTCACTCCACCCTCTTTGTCAGCACACATGCGTTCTCTCCTCTGTGTGTGTGCTATCTGGCCCTGAAGGAGAGTCCCCTAGGTCCCATTCACCCTCTCACCCCACTGCTGTAGCTGATGCCTCCAAGCTAAACACTACTCACTTTTCTTTAAGTCTTTGCTCATTCTAAATGCCCAGCTGACATCACTGGCAACTGGCTGTGTCTACATGAAATCCATGAAAGCATCTAACAGGAGGGTCCAAGGTCTGTTGCCCACTTCTATCAGCCCCCAAACACATACACAAACACACATTACTTCTCAACTCAATATATGACCTAAGTCTGAAACAGGGTTGATAGTAAAAATAGCTATGGTGTGTATGTGGGAAGAGAATGTCAAAAATAAATTCGGTAAATCTGGATGCTATATCCCTTCCTTCACCAGTGCCCCCCACCCATTTTCATACTAGTGGCTGCTGTTTCTATGACAACCTGTCCAGGAAGTTGGCCCACACTTCTTCCTTCAGGAGCAGGAAGCTGGAGCAGTTTGTGTTGCTTCAGAAAAAACTTGAAGGCCTCCTCCCCCAACCCCCACCCTCACCCCGAATCCGCTCCAGTATCCCTCCTCAACCCAATTTCTTAACTCCCTTTCCCACCCCCCACACCTACCTCCTCTAACTCATCCTTGGCATCCAAACTGGTTGAAAGTAGCAGCCTCCCCCCTCCTGGGGCTCCTGCTCCCGCTCCTCCTCCTCCACCTCCCGCTGCTCCCGAAGCAGCTGCTGCTGCTGTCCCTTTTCCCTTCTGTAACTCCATGGCTGCAGCCAGGAGACAGGAAAAGGTCAGGGAGTGGATGGGTGGAGAGTCCTAGAAATGGGAAACTCTGGGTTGCCAGGGACCGGGGGCAAGAGGAACAAGTAGGGGGAGAGGAGGGCAAGGGTCCCTGTCCTCTCCACTCCTCCCTCCAAAAGGCCGCGCCTGCGGAGCGGGTGAAGGCGGGCGGTCCTCTAGGTCCTGACTTTGCAGTGGCAGTGCTGAAGGAAAGCCGTTAGTGCCTAAGTACAGTGGGGTAAAGGTCTGTGCCCCTATGGGAAGGGTAGGAGAGGCTTCCGCCCCTTAAGTGGTGGACCCTAAGAGCTTCTGACCCTAAGAGAAGGGGAAATCCTAAGTTTCTACCCCGTTTCCTGGTGGGGGAAAAAGAGGAGTCCTGCCCCTGAAGTAGGGGGTAGGAAACCTTCCTGGCTGGTGCCCCAAGGGTTGGGGAGCGAGGCTTCTTTGGATCCGGCCCCTGAGGGGTGAAGGTGAGGCAGTAAGCGCTATAGGAGGACACCGAGGACCAGCTTCTCCCCACACCACACACAAGCGGCCATGGTGGAAGGGCGGGGGGTAGGAAGGCTGAGGGCGATGGCGAGGGGAGGGGGAGAAATCGTCGAGGCCCGCGCCGGAAGTGAGCAGTCGCTGCCCCTGCCCTCCGCCAATGGCGGCTTCCGCGGTGGCGCAGAGTCTCCAAGGAGTAGGAAGACCGCGGCTGACAGGCCTTTTCCCCGACTGCCAATTGCATTGAAGAGAAAAGAGCCCGGTCTGATGGACACCCAGAATGCCCAATCGGATTCCTTTTTTGCTCTCGGGGGGCGGGACGGCCAACACCCGGGGTTGGGTGGGAGTGCAAGGCGATGAGGAAGGAGAGAGACTGCGCCTGCGTGCACCGATGCGCATGCGCGGTGTCGCCCTCTGCTCTCTTCCTCCCTCCTTCTAGAACTTGGTTGGGTGCTGGAAGCAAGACGCTCTCCCTGGGTGGCTTTGGGAGACACGAAGCTTAGCCACGAATTGGCAATGCAGGGGGAGGGAGCGGAGCCCCAACCCTTAAGCAATCAGAGCAAACGCCATCAGATGGTATGGAGCTATCTCCCAGAGCTGAGAGTGCATCACCTGTGTGTGCTCACGCAATGGCAGTTACCAGCCAGACTTTGCAAAAAAGTGCTTTGACCCACTTGTGCAAAACAGATCATTAGAATTATGCCAGCACTAGCTCCAGCAAAAATTTGCTAAATGATGGAACCATCTTCGAGTATGTGAGACTGACCCAGGTAACTGAAGTCATTGTACTCTCACCCATAATCCAGTGTAGAACGTTCTAAAGTGAACGCATTGTAGCCTTGAATGCCTGTGAGTCCATTTCTACTGATTGGTTCTTCACCTGTGCATCTCAACAGCATTTTCCGTTTTTTCAGGAGTCCTGTAGGATTCTCTTATATAGATCCAAAGACAGATCATATTTCACTATTTTTAATACCTCTTTAAAAAAGAATTATTACCCAGGCGTGGTGGCACGCGCCTGTAGTCCCAGCTGTTCGGAAGGCTGAGGGAGGAGGATCACTTAAGCCCAGGAATTTGAGGTTGCTGTGAGCTATGATGAGGCCACTGCTCTCTAGCCTGGGCAACAGAGTGAGACCCTGTCTCAAAAAAATAAATAAATAAATAAATACCCCTGCTTGTTTTACTTTCTGTGACATGGACACAAGGGGACCTACCTGTCAGCTTTGAGAGGATTATGTGAACTAGTGGATATGAGATCACTATAGAGATACTATATAGAGTCACTACTACTCTACAGCTACAGCCAGTCCTATTTATACTTGTAATGACTTTTAACATTTTAAGTATATATGCTTTTATTGAAATGCTGTGGATACTCCTTTAAGTTGGCTCACTCACTGATTTCTTTACAATCTATATTAGCTGTAATACCTAGGCAAGTAATTTTTGACTTTCTGTATGTTAATTATCTATAAAATAAGAGGTGGACTGGCTGATCTCTAAATGACATTCCAGCACTGGGAGTCTGCAGTTCTATAGTGTATGCTTGGGATTCCTTCTAGGTGAAAAGCACTACATTAGCCACTGAGGAATACAAACTTAAGTCAACATTACTGCATCAGTGGAAGCAGGTAATAGGTTGGAAAAAAGAAAAGTAAGGTGTAGAACACTGTCTATGTTATGCTTCCATTTGTGTATGGGTTTTTAAAAGTGGGAGCTGGGAAAAGTGTATAAATGTATTTGTATCCAGAGATACATAGGCTATCTCTGGAAGCATACCCAAAACCCCTGTAATACTGGTTGTCTCTGGGTAGGAGACTGGATGGCTGAGACATGGGGTGGAAGAGAGACTTACATTTTACTGTGTGTGTTTTCACGATTTTTATTTTAGTTTTGTTTTTTTGTTTTTTTTTCTTCGTCTGTTGTGTTTTCACTGATACCCCACCACAACAGACACGTAAAAAGAGAAAGACAATTTTTAAATTAAGCACCATGTAAATGTAGTGCTTATTTTTTAAAAATCTGACATAAAAATATTTTGATAGGAAAATTTATTTACCCTTCTCTAGTAGCTTACCTGTTGGTCAGGGTATATGCTACAGTTCTTATATAATATTAATAAAGTGACAGCTTACGTCTATCAAAGGCTTGCTACATGCCAGGCAATGGTCCAAATACTTTACATGTTGTAATTCATTTATACCTTGAGTTAAGTATCTTTCCTACTTTCCAGATGAAGAAACTGAGGCACAGAGAAGTTCAACAATTTATTCAGGTCATATGGCTTAGGAAATGTCAGAGCCAGGATCTGAACCCAAAGGGCCTGGTCCCAGAATATGCACACTTTGCCCCCTACGTCATACTGCCTTTTTGTTAATACAAAGTAGAAAATGGAGTGGTGATTTGGGAAATTTTAACTTTTCAAAAATAAAAGCATTTTGCTGTAATTAACTCCAAAAAGCTGATAACAACCTTTCTCTAACTCAGAGCACCTAGCCCTGTAATGTAATACGTGCTAAATCTTAAATAATCTAAGAAATTATAAATTAAAGTGAATAGGCATTTGGGAATGGTCGATTCACTGATTCATTATTAGAAAAGCTTCTGGAAGCTCTGCATTGTCCTCCCATTGCTTCATCTGTGTCAGTGTCAGCATTTGCCCCCAGCAACATAAGAGCAGAAGCTTGTTTTTGACGTTCATCCTTTTTTCTCCCAGATTCAGTCGGTCAGTAAAGACCTTTTGACATTTTTCTTAGAAACGTCTCTGAAATTTGTTCCTTCCTTCTGGCCAATGCTATGTATTATATGTACACACATGTATATGTATCTCCTTAGGGATTACATGCATTCCAACCCATTCAAAATCCTGCTACTTTTCTAATATTCTTGAACTACCCTTTCAAAACCTTCTGAATTCTCCAAAATCCTTCATAATCTTATCTGCTCCACACCTACCTAATCAACATAATCTCCCATGACTTACTCTAACTTTTAGATTATTCTGTATTTTAAAACAAATGGTTTAGGTAATAAAAATTCATTATTACAATTCTAACATTAATGTAGAAATGAACCCTCTTCCCCCCACACCCTGTCCTCCCCATCCAATCTCACTCTCCTGAGTTATCAGTATCACCAATTTGTTGTATATCCTTCTCTACTTTTTCAAATATTTATGAAGACATATCTACAGTTTTTTTTGCTTTGGTTGCTGTTTCGTTTAGTTTTTTAGCAAAAATAAGATTATGTCCTACATATTCTGCTTCTTGCTTTTAAAAATAAACATTATATCGTGACCAAATTTTTTAAAATTAAAACATGGAGATCTGTTTCATTCTATTTTATAGCCTCGTAATAGTCTCCTCCTCTCCTCTGGAGAACTTTAGGTCTTCCCTGATCCTGTCCCCATCTAGCTGATCTCCAGAACAAAGGACCTTCTACCTTGCATAGAAGGCAATTGGGGTTATAAATTGCAATCCACCCTGCCTAGAAAGCAATTGGGGTTACAAATAGCAAGGTTGGAGGGCACTACAGTTATCATTAATAAGAATAATAATAAGGCCCTAGAATCAAGAAAAACAAAAGGATTCACAATGCTGCAGAAAGTTTCTCCATCAAAGAAAGAACAACCCAACACCGAATGATCCTGAATGGGTTTTGGGTTGTGACAATGAAGGAATTTCCTTACTTTAGATAGAAAGATGAATTAATGAAAAGGATTGGGGTGAAGACTAGAAAGGCATGCTTATCATACCATAGGAAACATGAGGCTAAGACTGCCAGTTAATAGATGGATTACCAGATTATATCGAAAAAGTTCTTGACGGCATAAAAGAATGAACTAAACATAATAAGATACTTAATAATGATAAATGTGCTTATTTATATACCTAGGCCTTATTCTAGAATGTATTTATGGCAAATAAGATAAATATGAGTTTTTGTAGTTAATTTTTAAAAATTAGTGAAGGGGGCCGGGCGCGGTGGCTCACGCCTGTAATCCTAGCTCTCTGGGAGGCCGAGGCGGGCGGATTGTTTGAGCTCAGGAGTTCGAAACCAGCCTAAGCAAGAGAAAGAAATTAATTGGACAACTAAAAATATATAGAAAAAATTAGCCAGGCATGGTGGCGCATGCCGGTAGTCCCAGCTACTTGGGAGGCTGAGGCAGGAGGATTGCTTGAGCCCAGGAGTTTGAGGTTGCTGTGAGCGAGGATGACGCCACGGCACTCTAGCCTGGGCAACACAGTGAGACTCTGTCTCAAAAAAAAAAAAAACATTAGTGAAGGGGCTAGGCAAAGATTTCTTTTCTTTTCTTTTTCTTTTTTTGGAGATGGGGTCTTGCCCAGGCTGGAGTACAGTGGCACTGTGATAGCTCACTGTACCCTCAAACTTCTGGGCCTCAAGTGATCTGCCTGTCTAAGCCACTCGAGTAGCTAGGGATACAGGAGTGTATCACCACACCTGGCTAATTTTTTAAAAAATTTTTTGTAGCAGTAGAGTCTCGCTATGTTGCTGAGGTTGGTCTTCAACTTCTGACCTCAAGCAATCCTCCTGCCCTGGCCTCCCAAAGTGCTGGCATTATTAAAAAATTACCTAGCTATGGTGGTGCACACCTGTAGTTTCAGCCACTCAGGAGGCTGAGGCAGGAGGATTGTTTGAGCCCAGCAGTTTGAGTCTGCAGTGAGCTATGATTGTGCCACTGCACTCCAGCTTGGGTGACAGAGCAAGACCCTGTTTCTAAATATAAAACAAAACAAAAAAATCAATTCCATTTATAATATCATCTAAAAAGCAAAATATCTAGGAATAAATTTTAACATGTAGGTGAAAGACTTGTATGTACACTGAAAACTACAAAATGTTGCTGAAAGAAATTAAAGAAGTCCTAAATAAATGAAGATATCCTATGTTCATGGATTGAAGACTTAATATTGTTAATATGTCAGTACTACCGAAAGCAATGTGCAGATTCAATACAATCTCTATCAAAATTCCAGTGGCCTTTTTTGCAGAAAAGGAAAAGACAATCCTGAAATTCATATGGAATTGCAAGGGTTCCTAAACAACATAACAA